CCACCAGGGCATGCCCTTCAAGGAACACTTGCCGAGTATGCAAGTTGTCACACCACACCCTTTTGCATCGGACCACAGATAAAACCCCAGCGCGAATTTCCAGCGCCGTCACTATTGTGCCTCCGCGTGCCCAAAAACGCCAATGTGTCCATACGCGCATCTGCTTATGCCACCCACAGCGAACAAACACCACTGTGCCTAGAAGTCAGCGTAAAGCACTAAACCGTGATGGAAAAGAGGGCATTTTCAAACGCCAATCGAAGGCAGCACGTCCTGACCGAGGGAAAAGACGCCATTACCAACTTGACGACCTAGTGACTGTGGCGGCCACCTCGCTGCGCGACTTGCAACAGCATCTCAATCGTTTTGCACCGGTGCAAGGGGGCCGGCATGATCACGATGAGAATGGTGGCAACCTCATCACCTTCTAAAGAAGCTGAATTCATCCACACACAGTAACACCGAATTATGTATTATAAATCACCTTAATTTGTATATGTAGATGTAAATGAATATAAATGGATTTTAGAGGCGAACGGTTTCAATTTTCCAACTGCGACCGTCACGCCAATAGTATTGTATACCTCCGATATTAATATCGTGTAAATTAAACACAATTGAAGTTATATTGAACTTATACGGTGTATCTTATTTTTATTGGAAAATTCTGTAAATTAAACACAATTGAAGTTATATTGAACTTATACGGTGTATCTTATTTTTATTGGAAAATTCCCGGTAAAGAAAAAAACTCCTCACAGAATCGCAATTCTGTGCAAAAGCTTTAGAAACGTGAGTATGCTAAAAATGGTGCCAAATGGATTCGCTTAACAAATGCTATACTGTCAGGGTTGCCAGTATTTTTTTAAGCGGTATCACCAGTTTCTCAATTTAAAGTCGCCAAAATCGCCAAATTTTATTTATATTATCGTCGGATTAGTCGCCAACGAAATTCTGAGCAAAACCAAACATAAAAACTCAAATAAAATTGCAATTCAAAGACGATTTTTTTTGTAGAAGTTTATTCGCGCATAGCACAAATATTTATTATCGCAACAAAATAAAATAAAATTATTAAAAACTTGAACAAACTTTTCGAACTTCCTACTTCGGGTTACTTATTATTACCTGTTCTGTATTAATTACTAATACAAGGAAAATCAATATTAGTTACAGTTTCAAACGTATCGTCCGTTTCTCTTTGTTTAAGTTTTTCTTCCTCTGTATTTATCTTAGGATAAATTATGTCATACTTAAAATTCTTAATCATCCTGTTCGATGGATGGAATTTATTGCAACATATATTTCTTTCATAGAAATAAAGGCGCCTACGTAGCAACGAATTTAACATTTTAATTTGCAATTTACTTCGCGCTTGAGTCTTGATCACATTTAATACAGAGAATGTTCTCTCGACATGAGCGTTGCTTGTAGGAAGGCTCAATATTTTCAAAGCATAGGATGACAACTCCTTGAACACGGGCAGAACGGCAGCATTCTCATACTGATGCACTATCGGCCAAAAATCATAACTGCTCTGGTAACTGTTCATCCCATTCGGAACAGTGGTCCAGTTTACAGCGAGTAACTTATTCCACTGATTTTCAACTCGACTCAGAACTTTTTCATCTCCTATATTTAATTCAAGGAAAGGTAAATCTGTGAACTGAGGGCGATTTTGATTTAAACAAATTTTTGGCGAAAAAACTTGAATTTTCCTTAAATTCTTCAAACTTAGTGGTAAACGTTTAGCAATTTCTTTACAGAGAGTTTTGAGGTATTCGAAAGCTTTCTTTTCAAGGATAGCCGCATCACCTCTGGAAATCATAAACGATGAACTTTTCATTTTATAATAAAGGGTGCCAAAATTTGCTTCCTCAGGAAGACAGTACGCTAAATCATTATCTACATTTTTCATCAAAATATTTGTATCCCTGGTTTTGACAAACGAAGGTGTCATCACTTTTTGGCAAATAAAAAAAAACAAGTTTTCCAAATCTTCCAACGATTTACCAGCATCAGTATTATCTTTTTGAAATGACAAATTAACTTGATTGATTTCTAGAAGAACTGGTTCTAAAATAGTCAAATATAAGTAATTTGAATAGTCATTGAACATTTCTTTCAATAACCGAGCGACATAAGACTTCTCTTTTTCTACAATAAGCGAAAAATATGTTTTTAGTTCAAACCAGTTCTAATGGATTCGTTTCACTGCATGGTGCATGCTAAGCCAACGCGTAGCACAAAGTTTAACAATTTTTTTTTGCTTTTTTGATTCCACGCCATTGTTGAGGAGCTCATAAATACGCTGAAAGTTTGCATTTCGAAGAGCACTTTTTTTAAACCAATTGTAAACATTTTTACATAAGAACTCAACATGTGCTGGCAAATTGTCGGCAGCTTTTGAACTTGCATTGTCAAGTGAACGGCATACACATCGAATCAAGACTAAGGTAGGACAGTCTTTTTTCAACTTTGTATATAACGAGTTATGCTTACCGCACAAATTCGCAGCGCCGTCAGTACCTATACCGACTAAGTTGGTCAATCTCATATTAATGCTTTTAAGGAAAATTGTTGCATGGTCGTACAATTCTTCGGCAGTCGTACTATCGACAGCGACTATGGCTAAAAATGAGGTAGTGACTTCTTTGCGAGATTCGCTGTAATATTTAACGCAAATGCAAAGATATTTCATAACTGAAATATCGATCGACTCATCAACGATTAGTGAGAATGGAGAATTGCTGATGTCATCTACTAAATCTTCTAACAGAGATGGTCCTATCACATTTCTAATCAAGTTCCCACATTTAGTACGATGCATTTTCAATTTGTCAAAGTTTTTATCCAACTTCCGCAAAATATCGGTTAAATGGTCAATGCCGCGCACTGCACAGTGAACAGCAATAAATGCTGCAAGCTTAAGATCATTTATTTTACTCTGTTCAGATTCAGCGGGTGGAAATGGCAGTCGTGTTTGTCCTGGAAGTGTTTGAAACGAAATTCCTTTGTTTTGGTGTCCTTGTGTCTTTCCATATTTCTGCAAATCCTTAGAATGTGCACGCAATGTTATTTTACACCATTTGCAAAATGCTCTCTTTTTTTCTCCATCTTCTGCCTCAGTAAGCCAACCTGTTTTATAGATTTAAATTTACTTATGGGAAGTCCGGTTTCCAATTGAATTAATTACTACGTACATCGTAAATGAAATTAAAGAAATTCTAAGAATGCTTTACCTGATCTTCTACCCAATCTTCTTTTTCCCAGTTTTTATTATACTGCCGCATCAAGGACTCGACGTTTCCGCATTTTCTATTTTTGGACAGGATTCCACTTTCCATTTTTGTTCAAGTCTCATTAATTACGAAAATAATTTTATTCAATTCTAAGTTAATATCGAGCTTAGCAAAATTTTGTTGAAAAAGCTGATCTGCCAAATAGAAATTCACACATTTTATGTATACCCACGCCACAACAACTTTTAACTTTTTGATAGATTCACTGACCGTGATAGTTCGTTTTGTACGTTCCTTTGCCAGGGTTTATTTATGAGTTAAAAAGAGACAAAAATGCTTCCTAAACCAAGAGTACAAGCAATGCTTCCTTAAGGTCTAGTGCACACGTCAAATATATTGAGCTCATTTGAGTAAGGAAAAAAAAAATTAGCTGAAATTTCACGTTTTTTGTCAAGCCGCCAAAAAAGTCGCCGTAGCCGACTTCAAAAATTTGCTCGCCCTGATCTGCAAAAAATCGCCAAATTGGCGACAAGTCGCCAATACTGGCAGCACTGTATACTGTACATGATATGCAAAGACTCACAACCATTCAAAATTGTAGAGGATCAAGGATTTTTGAATCTAATAAAAATAGCAGTCCCTCTGTATAAAGTACCTTCCATAAGTACTTTTAAAAGGATGTTAGATGATAGATATACAGTAATACGTAATCAAGATTAAGGAATTAAATACTATTACCCTTACTACAGACATCTGGACGGATACTTTGAATACAAAAAGTTTTCTTGGTGTTACCATATAGATACTTTTATGAAGGAAACGATATGATATCAGCCAGCTTAGGAGTTTGTGAATTAACAGAGTCGCACACAGCTGAATATATTGCAAACATGTTGGTGGAAACGTGTGAAGAGTGCTCAATAGATATTAAAAAGGTTGTGGCCGTGGTCACTGATGGTGCGGAAAATGTTGTCAAAGCTGTTGATCTTGTATTTGGCAGAAAATGCCACATTATATGCTTTGCCCACTTGCTCAATTTAGTAGCACAGAAAGCA